AAATTCTGGAAATAGAGCCTAACATTTGCCGAGATTTTGTTGAAACATACTCAATGTGAGATTTCCACGTTAAATTATGCGAGATAATAACACCAAGTAGTTTCAGAGATGAAACACGCATAATATTTAGAGAAAGAAACAGGCTGATTTTCGACAGTTGGCTGCAGATTTTTATAAATGCAAATATTTTTTATTCAACCTTTCTTCAGCTTTGCTTGTTACATTTTAGACGTTTTGTATTTTATTAATAATAATATTAATTTTCTGTTTTATTAATTGTGTTTTTATTAATAGTCGTTTACCCATCTGAATGGTATATAGAGTAAAATACGATGATCACGTCAAAAATTTTGGTAAGCTTTTGTTTGTCTGGGTCTCTTTAGAATTATTGACCGTACCGGCTACTTTTTAGACGGTTTACGTGTAGAAATGCTAACAATTGGAAATTGAAAATAAGAAAGTAACAAGAAAAGAAGATGAAGCACAAGCTGATGATTATCCAGCTGTACAACGTTCCATACAAAAGCGTGTTAAACAATTTGTGGCAAATGGTAATTTCAAATCTTGGCTTTTTTTACCATTTCGAAGCTAGAACTGTTCACGTTTAGGTTTAGAACCTGGTGAAACAGAAAGACAATTTGATAAAACCAATGCTGTACGTGTTTATATATTAGAAGGAAATGGATCAGATCGATCACCAATATTAAAAATGAAGTTAGATGAAAAAAGTGATAGCTTGGATTAATTTCTTATAGGCATGATCTGATAGACCTGTTACTCTGTGTTTTCCTCTTTATGCATAGAAAAAACGTTTATTGTGTTGACTTATGATCAAGAAATACGCACATCATTAGAATTATTTATACAATATTTAACACAACATGGTTCATCATTATCAGCTGGTCAAGGTTACAAACAATTGTATGAAAAATATTATATATCAAAACAAAGAGTTCAAGCAATCTGGAGATTGATGTATGTCTAACCTCCTCTTTCATAAACGCTTTGATTCCGTTTCTTTTCTCTTTCTGTAGCGGTAATCATGTAAAACCTGACTCAGAAATCACTGATGATGATGCGTAAGTTTGAATCTAGTAATTGTTCTTTAATTTTTGACTATAGCTCTCCATTGCAGATTGGATGATCAAAAAGGTGAACAAACAGAACTAGTTGGTAAAGAACGAGTATTATCAGCATCAGAAATAATAACGACAAACGATGAAGTTAGTGAACCAGAACATAAAGAAAAAGAAGAGGAAGACAAAGAAAACAAAGAGCAAGATGAACAATGCCCACGTTCAGGTGAATGATCAAAAGACTTTCATATGAGTTACAACTATCCTTTTCTGTTTAGCTTTGTTTTAGCTACACAAATTCGAAAGAAACGAACAGCACCAAAATCACAGTACTGTCTAAATGTCAGACTCCTTCTTACTTCTTATTTTGTTCTTTATTTAGCATGATCAACGCTCTATGTGATGCTTTATCGGTTAATGAACAAATAACAGGACCAAGAACACGTAAACCACCGCCAAGACTATGAACATTTTGTTAAGTTTTTCTTGTATTACTTTTTTTCTGTTGTTGTTGTTGTTGTTATATAACTAGTGTTGTTTCTTCTTTTTTCTTCAACTGTTTTATTTATCGAAAGTGAGATTGTTTTTGTTGTTTGCTGAGTAAAGTGCTTCTACAAAATGAACTTTACGTATGCTCTCTTTTATAGAAATAGGTATAACCATCAAAGACGGACTTGTGAAGCTCGGTCGGATATATTTGTTCAAGAATTCTCAAAAGGGAAAGGGACTGAAAACTTTTATGATGTTGAGAAAGAATCGGTTTTGCTACATACTTTGAAGATTTCGCTGCTAGGGAATGAAGTTTGTCTTAGCATTGGTTATGCAACGACATTATGGAGAGAAAAAGCATTTATTCGATTGAAAACTAAAGATGGGACGAGAATTTTGCCAGTGTTGCCAATCTAGCACAAAAGGCGATGTAGAGGAAAATGTAAGAAAAGAAATGTAGTAAAAAATTTTAGGTTGGTTAGGAAGAGAAAAAACGCCAAACTTATTACACTGGAAGGACGGTTATTAGAAATCTTCATTTCCTGCAAAATCATCCTTTTCTCTTTAAGGTTCAGTTTAAAACCATCTGATTGTTTCGTTAATAAATAATATAAACGATGTTTTTGTTATTGTTTATAGCGTAAATATTTAATGAAGTAACCTAAACGACCAAGCTTCGCTGTTCAGATAGATTTTTAGGTGAATTTTAAGTTTATCTCATTGTTCCAATAGAGATGAAAAATTTTATTTTAAGAAAACATAGTGAATACCAGAAATTTTATGATCCCGATTAGAAAGTGGAAAATGCATATGCTAAAAACCACTACAGATCGTGGTTTTCCGTTTTTAACCACGTTTTTCAAATCAAAGACCACAGTTTTGTATTTTGCGTTTGATTTCTGTACTGACGATTACGATCTACGAGACAGCCACTGACCGCGCTACCACTTGACTTTCAGCGAATGAAAACTGCAAAAGTATCACTGTAGTCCAAGTCGACTAGAGCTAAACTAGTAGTATGTATGTATAAAAGAATTTTGGCTCTTGGCCGATTTGGCCGATGGCTCTTGAGTACCCGGTTTTTCAGAGATCCAGTTTTTCAGAAACTCTAAAAAACAGCCAAACTCTTCCTAATCAGACATGAGTATAGGTCGCAAATTTCTGATTAAAATGAAACATCTTCCAGCTCTACACTATCTTTCTTTGCAAAGTTATAGAATTTACGAAGAAAAACCCTGAAGGTCCATTCTCAGTTCAAAGCTACAGAAATAAGAAATTAATTTAGGACTTTCTTGTAAATTCTATAACTTTGCAGAGAAAGGTAGTGTAGAGCTAGATAGTGGGCCCTCAAGAGCCATCGGCCAAAATTCTTTTAGGCGTTCTACCATATCGATATATTCTGTCGATTGATATGTGAATAAATCAAAAACAGAGAGAGGCACCTGAGAACACTTTCTCGTTAGGCTGAAAAATTCTAAATAAACTCTTATAAAGAAGAAGAGTACCTCTGGCTGTCTACCATAACACACTATCACAATTACTCTTTATACACGTGTTGTTTTGCAATTTGGTTTTTTCTATATTTATTCAGCAAAAATGGTACCCCTAATTACGGACCCTGATGGTAATTGTCTTTACAATGCTGTTAAAGTACTAATGCCAAAGTTTGAGGCAAGTCCTGTTGAACTTCGAGTTCGAGCAAATGTTGAATTAGCAGTAAAACTGAAAGATTACCAGCAAACATACCCCCATTGTACAGATTTTATTGATCCGTTTCGTCAATATCAAAGAACAGAAGTGATCTACGATAAGAAGGATTCTACATTATGGGAGATTTTAGCACTATGCAATATTCTTCAATGTTCAATCCGATCTGTTTATCCAAAGATTAATGAAGATACTGATGAAGCTGGAATGTCATATCTTCTTAATAAAACATTTCATCCATTTTCAACAACTAATTCAACAAAGTCAACATCAACAATTACACTAATGTGGACACATACAGCTGAAGAGGGTACTGTACGTACAGTTAATTATGGTATGTGGATACCAAATCATTTTGTTCCACTAGTTTATTATTATGATACAAAACCATCGTTTACAAGTGAACGGCATCCAACACTGGTTAGATGCTTTATAATTTAATTAATTCTCACATTGTATAAAATTTTGTGGTGTATTTTAGAGCAAAACAAATAAGCTATCATCACACATACAAGCAAGAGAATCAAAAGTAAAAGTGTGTGAAGTAAGCATTAAACTCTGCTTAATTAGATATAAAATCTGTCTTCGTTTAATTAGACAGAAGATCATACCCAAAACGAAAAAAGTACAAAGTCTTCCAATCCTCTTCAGTCAGATGACATACGGGTATTTTTCAAGTTCAAATTTTTCTGAAATGAACGAAATCAATCGAAAAAATTGGTTTTTTAGAAATCTAGCTTTCAGCCAGAAAAAAATATCATCTTGATCATTATTCATTTCAGAATTTTGTGTGATATTGAGATCATTCTAAATGATACTTTTTCTTCAGCTTCCGCTAAAAACAAGTAAAAATAACCGAACAGAAAAAAGAATTAGCACATCAACATTTGAATCACCAAACGTAAATATTGTCTTTATACAAATCAAGATTGAATGTATATTTACTGTACTTTTTAGATGCTCTCGTCTTCAGACTGATATTTTTTCTGATGCTATAAAAGTAAGTACCACCACGAATAAAAGAGTTCTCTAAAGATTCTATTGTAGTAAATATACTGCAAAGTACAAGACTTTTGCTCAATGATTAAAAAAGAGAAAAGTCATATTATATAAAGAAACGTAAACTGATCGAAAAAAAATTAAATCTTCGCGGCTCATGTTCTCTAATCGACGTAAATGGAACATCAAATCTTGATAATTTCATGCATGATCTATGAAATTTTTGGACCGATTTTTGACATTTTTTTAAAATCTCATATTTTTGCCGATATCGACAATCTTGATTTTTCTTCTTGAAAATAATCACAAAAAAGTTGCAGTTCTTTATAGTCTAGCCAAAATATCAAAAATTTCGAGATTTCGAATCTAAATGGGATTTCCTTCAAGAACTTTTGTATATAACTCAGGCTCGTGCCTTAAGCAGAAGATTTCTGTTTCGCAATATCAGATTTACCAGGATAGCGTGAAATCTTTTTTTTCTCTTTCATGATTGGTAAAAAATACGAATTATTGAATTACTCTAGGAGGATACAGGTGAACGAACATTAAGAATTAACATTGAAAATTTTATTAAGAAAGATAATACTTTAAAAGATAACACAGTGATTGAAGAAATTGTCCGAAAATCATTAGATCGTTTGAAAAAAAGCTCCCAAGTACGTGACAAAGAAATTTTGAAGAAAGAAGTTAGAAAAAAACTTAATAATTTAATATCACATAAAAACGCTTATGCCAGAAAACATCATCAAAAACAATCTGCCAGTTGGCCACAATATTACATTGAAGTGAAGGTTCTAGTAGAACCATTTGGCCACTCTGTTGTGGTAAATGAGGACGAAGCTGACGAAGCACTCAAGTTTTCTCCACACGCTACATCATCTTCAACAACAACAACAGCAACAAAAAAAGCATCACCTCCAATCCAATTTTCGGGAATACAGTTTCGTGGAAGACATGATCAAAAATATATAGCAGTAGACCTTGATGATCTCAATTTATTATCTCAATCTCAACAACAACAATAATCCAACTTCTACGATGATGATTCTAATTATGAAGATAAAAATATCGAGATTCTTGGAATAGACGACGACGGATTTCGTGTTCAAATTCCAACTTCATTACTTGCAGATTGTGTTACAAGCAATGGTGAATTTTCATCAGAAAAACTTGACCTTCTGTCTAACGATATTAACATGCTACTGAAGCTAAATTCTATTGATCCCATACCATTAATTTTCGGTCAAAATTTCAGCCGATCTGTGAACAAATGGTTGCAAGTTGATTTTAATAGAATTACGCAAAACAAACAATCTCATCACGTTCTATGTTCCACTCGTTCGAACCAAAACACTCATACCTTCATTCGTAAGTAAAATGTGAATTTTATCTTTTTTCAATAATAATTATTTATCTGTTCAGGAGCGACGAAAAAGCTCATTCTAGAAAATTCGCTTCCAAATCGCCAATAAAAGAGCATCTGAACCTTTTGTAAAACTTAGTTAAACACCATAGAGAAAAATGTTACCAAAAAATCACTAGACTTTCTAACAACGAAAAACTCTTGTCGGATGAAACTCGACCATGAAAAAAAATTTGTTTTTTATAATAGAAATCTTTCCTGAAAAATGACATCCCATATAGCGAGAACGCTAAATTAGCTAAAGTCTAATTAAGCTCAAACTTTGAGCAAGTTCTTTTCTACGTGTGCTGCAAATATAGTATTAACACATCGTCCTAGATGCGCCTAGTGATTTACAACTAATTAATTATTAACCATGCATTAATCCACAGTAATAATTTAGTGCTTTCATGCGCTTTGATTTTTGGTTACAGAATTCTTTTATTCTAAATAATGTTTCCAAAATATTTCTAGAATACAGATCTACGACCTCGTATTCCTGCCGTTCATTTCAATGTTGCATCTTCTCCCTCTCCTTTGTCTTTATCCCCACGTGTTTCATCCGTTGATGAAAATTTAAAAATAATTTTCAATCAAGCTACTAAGCTTGTTGCATATCAAAGTAACTTTAATCCACATGATGATGACGATGACGATGACGATATACAACAAAAAAGCACTGGAAATGTAAATGTCAGCAACAAACAGAAAATAGCTTCAACATCAACGTTGAGAAAAGATGTTAGTGGTTCCATCGATTTTTCAGACTCGGACGGTGAAAGTGAATATGATGAAGATTATTTAAGTAATAGGGAAATTTTGGTAAAACGGCTATCAAATACATTTGCAAAAATGGCATTAAGTTGGAAAATGCAATTTTCGATTACTAACAGGGCTTATGTAAGTATTCTTTAGAAAAGAAAGCTATATTTGCTATCAGTGTAAACCTTTTATCTTACAGGTTTCATTAATTGAACTTATACAGAAGCTGGGCCGAAGTTTGCCACAATTTAAAGTTGTCAACAAGTTAAAACAAACAATTAAAGGACAAATTCCATTACAAGAATGCAAATATGGGTGGTATTTACATGTGTTTCATGCTGTAAGTTTTATGAATTCAACGTTTTTTTCTATAAAAATTCTTGTAGAGCGAAATGACTTCAATGAATTATTCTTAGATGAGTGGCTGAATTTAGTCATTTAATCGGTCTACCCCGCTAGGTTCTCAGTTTATTTACTCTTTAATTTTCATTAAGAGCGGTTCTCTTATTTAGATTTTGCTCAATTTTTACTAGTTTGTAGAGCACACCTCCAAACATATATGAAGTTTTCTCGGCTTGTAGGCATTAGCCGGTTGAGAAAAAAGTTAATTACGTCAAAAATTCATGTCAAACTTCGAACATTGGACACTTTTTTAAAATCTTTTCTATTCGCTGGTCCTTCATCACAAAATTCTAATTCAGACGCAGGATGAAAGAAAAATGTCTAGAGGATATAACTAGAACAAGAAAAAGAAAAAATTTGTGTTCTTTGCTTCCTTTTTATGATTAATTAACACTAAATATCATTTATAAGTGGCACTCGACCCTAATAAAGTCGAGTTTATTCAATAACTAGTTGACGTACAACGAGTTATATCTCATCTGATCGACAATTTCACGGGCTACAAGATGCATTGCCTTAAAAGATGTAGACATTTTTTATCGCTCGGTAATTCGACTTTACTGGAAAAGGCAGAATTCTACCGCTAATTTGCAATTTTCTCCATCGGAAATCAACTTTTACACAATGAAAATATCTTTTTTTTGGAATCGGCGTCGGAAATCGAGTCGAATGATACATATTTCAAAAATTTTCCTTGATTTTCATTTTTTGATGAAACCTCAATAATTAATTATTCGACATGAAAACTCAAACAAAATTACAAGTTATCGAATACGAAATAGTAGATCATTCGACTCGATTTCCTACGAGAAAATTCTGCCTTTAGAATTCTCCCTTTTCCAGTAAAGTCGAATTACCG